CTTTGCTCTTCGGAGCAGGGCGCTAATGAAAGGAGTGATAACTGGAGTGGCGTTAAGTGTTGAGGAGGACCAACTGAAATTGAAGATTCCCGCCATTTGGTGTGGTGTGGTTGGATATCTCAGAATAATGGATCTGAAAGTATATTTGGCTGTCTTTCAATGAAGTCCACCAACTGCTTGAACCTTGCTCTTCGATTGTTGTGTTTTTGGAAATCATATGCAGTTGAACGCCACTTTTCCCTCAGCTTGTATGGCAGTTTCGAGACCACCAACCTCATGTTGGAGGGGCTGTTCATCTCCTTCAGGGAATCAATGTCCAGCATTGTGTTGCAACATCCACTGAGAAAGAACCCGGTGGAGAGTGAGGTGAAACAGAAAAAACACTGTCTGTCCTGCTGAGTTTAGACACAGTCTTTACCCGGCAAAGTCAAGTTAGTATGTGTCAGTTATCCCGTGAGAGCTTTTGTCCCGAACCCATTACGGTGTTTTAGGTGCCAAGCTTATGGTCATGCTGCAGCAGTGTGTAGGAGGGAGGTTCCTAGATGTGAGAAGTGTACAGGAGAGCATGAGACAAATAAATGTGTAGTATCAGTGGGATAAGCTGTGTGATAACTGTAGGGGTACCCATGGTGCTGGAGATCGAAAGTGTCTGGTGAGAGAAAGGCAGGTCGAGGTTGCCAGGATCAGAAGGTGTAGTATGCTGAGGCAGGAAGATGGGGCGAGGGACCCTAAGAAAAGGCAGAGATGTCCTTAGAATTCTTTTTTTTTCATGAGCATCATGTCAAGTTCTGCTGAGATGTGCGAGGGGCATTATCAACTGCAACTGCCATTCAACAACAATGATATCCATATGCCAAGCAACCGCCATTTTGTGGAGTGTCATGTAACTGAAAAGAAAGTTCAGCAATGATCCGAAGTTCTATGAGGACTACAAAACATTTTTAGAAGCTGTTATGGAAAATGGACATGCTGAAGTTGTGCCAAAGTAGCAGCTCAACGTGAATGATGGAAGAGTGTTGTACATGCCACACCATGGGGTGTACCACCCCAATAAATGGAAAATGAGAGTGGTCTTTGATTGTTCTGCATCATTTCAGTGAACATCACTCAAAGACCAACTCATCCAAGGTCCCAATCTCATGAACACACTGCCCAGTCATGATCCGCTTCCGGCAAGAACCAGTGGCTATGATGGCAGACATAGAAGGCATGTTTCATCAAGTCAAGGTAACACCAACAGACACAGACTTTCTCCGCTTTCTATGGTGCCCAGAAGGTTATGTCAGTCAGAGCCTTACTGACTACAGGATGACTGTGCAACTGTTTGGTGCTACATTCTCATCCAGTTGTGCTAGTTATGCACTGAAGAAGACTGCAGAGGATAACAAGAGCAACTTCTCAGCTGAGGCAATTGACACCATCAATGACAACTTCTATGTAGATGACTGCTTAAATTCTGAACCAACTGAAAGGCAAGCCATAGCGCTAATGCGTTAATAAAGACGGTTTTGGGAAACGGCTCGGAAATGTAAAGAGGTTCTTATAAAAGGTTCTGATGAACTTAGCCTGAAAATACTTTTGGGAAACCGAGCCCAGATGACCCTGAGGTCCAGAAGAGCAAAGTGACCGTGAACACAATCGTCAAGAAATATCAAGATGCCACCAGCACCTTGATAAATCATTTCTCAACTTCTGCTTCTAGAGCTGAGCAAGAAAATAAAGGATGTACAGATCAAGAACCAGATAGAGACAGAGAAGTTTGATTGAAACTGAAATGAAGATGGGTAAGAGAATACCTACCTCTAATGCAAGAGGCAAACATGGATTCACTTCAGAAAAAACCTTGTACCTGGAGACATTGTGTTAGAGGCAGACACCAATGCACCAATAAGATCATGGAGGCGACTCCGGGATGCTGACCTTCTAGGCAGAGTTGCAAAGAAAAAGCCATATCTCAGACTGGCAAATAACAATAAAAGATTAAGATGGGCAAAAGAACACAGACACTGGACTTTTTCTTTGCAACTCTGCCGAGGTCAGCATCCTGAAGTCACCTCTTCACTGTTGACGTTGAGACTGGTGTTTTGCGGGTACTATTTAATGAAGCTGCCAGTTGAGGACCTGTGAGGTGCATCTGTTTCTCAAACTAGACACTCTAATGTATTTGTCCTCTTGCTCAGTTGTGTACCGGGGCCTCCCACTCCTCTTTCTATTCTGGTTAGAGCCAGTTTGCGCTGTTCTGTGAAGGGAGTAGTACACAGCGTTGTACGGGATCTTCAGTTCCTTGGCAATTTCTCGCATGGAATAGCCTTCATTTCTCAGAACAAGAATAGACTGATGAGTTTCAGAAGAAAGTTATTTGTTTCTGGCCATTTTGAGCCTGTAATCGAACCCACAATTGCTGATGATCCAGATACTCAACTAGTCTCAATAAGGCCAGTTTTATTGCTTCTTTAATCAACACAACAGTTTTCAGCTGTGCTAACATAATTGCAAAAGGGTTTTCTAATGATCAATTAGCCTTTTAAAATGATAAACTTGGATTAGCAAACACAACGTGCCATTGGAACACAGGACTGATGGTTGCTGATAATGGGCCTCTGTTCGCCTATGTAGATATTCCATTACAAATCAGTAGGCTAAATCAGTAGGCTAAATCAGTAGGCTAAATCAAGTGTTATCAAGTGTTAATCAAATGTTATACTGCTGTGGCAGTACTGTCGATATTTAAGCTAGGTAGATAGCTACACACACTCAACCGGTGACCGCATCTCTCAAGCCATGCATGTTTGGATACCGGGCATTCGCGAGCTCCTTACAGGGCAGATCAACAGGCAAAACCAGTCGGGTTGGCGAATTTAGGCTAGAGCTAAGAGCTACGAAGCTAATATTTGTACAGCATAAAGGCTGTACATTATAATATAAATTTTCAATAAGCACAATAGTCTGAATAGTGAGGTGATTTCCCCCAGTTAAAGTTCCGCAATAAGAGCTACGACGCTAATATTTGTGTAAACTCTTCATAATTGTAATCTGTTGGTGTCACTGAGTAGGCTGATACCCCATTTCATTGACCCAAGAGCCATAGGTAAGGCTGTGCATTGCATAAGTCTGCCCCCATTGCAATTCTGAAGTCTATACATACACACAGTGGCGATTTTAGCATGTAAATAAAAATGTGTTAGATGCATGCCAGCAAAGCCACTACACAACACAACACTAAACAATACATTCATTGCACTATAACAGTGACAAACGGTGCCCACAAACTGTTAGGGCCTACATAAAGCTGTCCCAACAGCAGAGCTTTCTTTTCAGCACCATGGAGTGAATCCTTACCACCGCTACACCTGGCTATCAGCAGAGCCTTGTCTGGCAGCGAAACAGTTAATTCAGCCTCATTTAATACCTTTTTAAAAACATAGCTGATATGGCTGACTTGCTTAAACAAATGTGGTTTCTACTGACAATTGAGATGTACAAACTATGGCATAAGGGGACGACGAGCAGATAAGAGGCAATCCGTAATTTTGATTAAGACATTAATGAGCGAACTAGGACAGACGTAGTCAATATCACTATTTGTTCAGCACTTTTGAAATGTACAGTGACAGAATTCAGAACATGGGCCGTTCTTACAGTATTCTCCCTGTACACCAAGTCAGAACCGTAGGATAAATAAAGGGGACATATAAGCAGATAAAGATATACTCAAAAACAGGCTATAGGCTACATGTAGTATTACTTTCTTAGCTACAGTATACATATCTCGCTGGCATATTACATCATTTATGCAGTAGCATACAATACATTTTTGAACTCACTGTTGTGCTGTGCTCACTTGAACAGGAAGGTCATCAAACGGAAAAAACAAGGTCGAATCATGATGTCAGTGACCTTCAGGTCGGAGCTCTAGAAAGAGGCCTGAGTTCCCGACTTGGAATTCCGAGTTGGATGACCATTCAAAACGTATTTTCCCAGTCGGAGCTCGTTTTTCCAGTTGTTCCCAGTTGTCTTGAAGTTCCCAGTTGTCTTGAACTCACTGAAGTCTGAGATTTCCCAGATCCGAGTTTCCAGTTGTTTTGAACGCAGCAGAAGTCATGCTGGATTGACAGCGTGGCCAATGTATTCAACCTTTTCTGGCCCAAGGTGTTGCATGTGAATGTTTATATTTTTAAGCTTGGAAAAGAGAACATTAAACCCAGACTTGGACCACACACCCACTCCACTGAATAGCAGGCTAGTGATTGCTTTGCAACGCTTACAGTTAGCCACTGATTCCTTCCAAACCACTCATTGTTGAATTTGCGATTTCCATCTTGTAGTGTAATGTTTATGTCCAATGGCTGATGAGTACCCATATGTTTTATCTATAATTTCTCTTCATATGACAAGGATTTGCCAGTAGATTGTCAACTTGATTCATGACTATGACTGCTTGTCTAGCTTGCTAGCTAAGATTTTGAAAGTATGATGTTGACATGATCAGTCCAATCAAAGCTACGGTAGATATAACGTGATTTGACTTCATTTTATCTGTGGACAATGACCTTGAGCCTTCTTGGATGGGCACTTCTAATGTGAATCTATGGCAGCACCCAAGGGGCTTGAATTTTCGACCTCTTCCAATAGATTTTGCGTGAAGTAGTGTCCCCATGAGTGACAGAACACAGAGCCAATCACGGCGTACATTTCTCAAAAAACCATGTGTGACAGTATTAATGCCAAAATGACATGCAATACAGGCAACCACATTATTATTTTTAGCTAAACAGTTGGGGCTCAAAACAGGTGGTGCTCTGCCCCACCTGCTCTGAATGAAGGGTTGCCACTTCATAAACAGTGCGATCAACTGTTTTTTTTGTCAGATTAACTAATTATTGTATTTTGTTGAATTTACATAACAACATCCTAAACTTGTTTAGCATTATCTTGCCATATTGTGGCATGATTCCACTATTTTCATCCGTTTGCATCAGTTTCAATGGTGACTTTTATTTTGAAGGCGAACCTCCGATTCCACTATTGTTGCTCACGCTAATACTGTTCACGACACAAATCGTAGGAAAATGGCGAAGAGGTGGCTTCCCTTTTCGCTCCTCTTTCTAGTTCTCTCCCTGTACTGTGCTGCGTCGGCTGATGACAGCGGCATTAAGAAAATGAAGATACAATTTGCAACTGGGCCACTTCTTAAATTCCAAATCTGGTAAGCGATGACAACAATACATTTTGAGTAGACCTCTTGTCTTGTTGTTGTTCAGCTAGCATCAGCTACTTGCCCGTGTGTCTAGGCCAAAATGAATTTCCTGTCTGGGAACCAGATTCGTTATAATTTGCATGTAACCAAATTGACTGTCAAACGGGTCTTGTTAGCCATATTTTTGTTCAAAACCATAGCAACGAAACACTTTTTCCTGAATTAATTAAGCTAAGGGTAATGTACGACTAGCTATGGCTAGTTAAATCCTGTTAGCTAATTCTGATCAGGAAATTGGGTGGGTGCAGTCAAAGAACCCTTACAGTATCTATGCAGCACAGTATCTTGGTTAGCTAGCAACATCCACATGTTTATGTAACTAAATGACAACCGTGTTTAGTCTGTTGTTAATTAATCTGTAGTTGAGAGGTTGAAAAAAATAAAACATACCACCGCTGTCAAATAGCTAATCCTGCGAATCCCCATGTGGGCACTACCGGTTGGATTCATTTCTACCATGTCAAGAGAATGGGATTAACTCAGACCAAGAGACGTGTTTTGAATGTGAAATGCCTTTGTTCAGTATTTTAATAATGCATTTGGGCAGTAGATGAACCCTGTGCCATACAGTAATGGGAGGTCACCACTCATGCTTTACAGGCAGCATACAATGCATGGAAGTCACAACAAAAGATCAAAGATAACCTTGGACTTAGAGTTGTGTTTGGCTGTGGCCAAGTGTATATAGCCTTGCCTCTAAAGACTGTTTTTTTTCAGCGTGTGTCACTGTCTGTTCCCCTCTGGCCCTGTTTGACTCTCTCTCGCTCTCTCTCTCCCCTTCTCTCACCCAGCATCTCCTGAGGGTACAAGCGGGTGTTTGAGGAGTACATGCAGGCCTTGTACCAGCGTTACCCAGACATCCGCATTGAGGGGGAGAACTACCTTCCTCTACCCCTCTACCGGTAAGTTACACTGCGTGCCACCATACCGTGGAAACACTTGAAGTGTATTGCAATGTATTCTCCCTTGTGGTTGTTACCAACAAATTGACTCAGGTCTTCATCTGGTCTGTACCTAAGGGTCAACACACTACACACTTAGGCGCATACATATCACCGGGTGCGGAATCTTCTTTCTTTGCTGATGATTCATACCTTGATATCTGCCACTTGCACAAAGCCATTGGATGTAAGGGTTCTCCCCAGGATTCAATTAACAACGTGGTGCTACTGAGTACGGCGGGGAGGGCCGGAGGGGGGGGAAGTGCCCTCCTTTGGACTTAAATGTTTTTGCGTTTTCGAACACCTGTAACTGCCATTTCAAGCAATCTAGAGCAAAAAATTGTATTGTATGATAACAGATAAATAAATAAATAAATATGTGTGTATAAATAAAAAAAAGTGGCATAGCCTGTCCACAAGGTGGTGCAGCGCCCCTCATATATTCTTTGGGGAGAACCCTTGATGTGCATATGTTCTACCGTCTCTCTGGAAGTTTACATTATTATCATCTTGTTTTCTGTCCTCAGACACGTTGCTTCCTTCCTGTCCATGTTCAAGCTGGCACTGATTGGACTGATCATCATCGGCAAGGACCCCTTCGCCCTCTGCGGTATGCAAGCCCCAGGCATCTGGGTCTGGAGTCAGGAGAATAAGGTGAGACTCTCTTATGTTTAAAATTCGACATAACACTTGGTGTTAGCGTCACAGGCATACCTGCTCTAATGGAAATTAAAGGGTAGATGTAGACAAGAATAGTCACTACCTCTCAAGGCACACATACAGACCTTACCCATGGGATTTCATTAATGCCTCATTTGGGAGAGTGAGAAAATGATGCAGTCTTTGTTTGTGTGTATTGTTTACCCTGGCTGTCAACCTGGATCTCCAAGGTAACATGAGTCCATGGTGCTGAAGTAGAAGGCACACTATTAAAATCCCCTCCATGTATATCCTAAACACACTGGGGGCCAATAAAAATGTACCTGTTATGTAAGCACTAACACGGCAGCATTCCTCTGTCTGTTCCTCTGCCTACTGCTATAACATGTTGGTGTGTTTCCCTGGGCTGGGTACACAGACAAAAGGGCTATGGAATTTTGCACCCTAATCCTTGGCAGAACCGATGTGCATATTGACCAATGACACATTTTACTTGAAGTCCAACTTTCGCTCGTAATTGATTGATGTTGATATTGAATTTCTGTTTCGGTCTCTCTTTCAGATTTATGCCTGCATGATGGTATTCTTTTTCAGCAACATGATTGAAAACCAGTGTATGTCAACAGGAGCTTTTGAAATCACATTAAACGGTAAGGCTCACTTTACCTTTGCATGAGTATGCACAAAACCTTTACGGAGCCTACATAGATGTCATTGAAAAATACCACACAGAGAAGAGAGTTAATGTGTTTGTACCTCCCTGGGCAGATGTGCCAGTGTGGTCCAAGCTGGAGTCGGGTCACCTACCCTCCATGCAGCAGCTGGTCCAGATCCTGGAGAACGAGATGAAGATGAACGTACACATGGACACACTCCCCCACCACCGCTCCTAACCCTTCCTCTACTCCCCCCTCGGATGGAGCCAAAGACCCCTCCACGTACGCAACCCTCCTCGTCCCATCTTTTATCCACCTCAATTTGCACAGTGGAAATAACCACTATCGCACACACACCCAATACCTCAGACAAATTTACTGTGTGGTATGGGGTTTGTGAACTTTCATATTGTATTCACATGACCATAGTTGTCAATTAGATTACTCAACCCATTTTTTGACAACTTCAAGGACTTTATTTTTGTAGGCTTTGGATGCACTTGATGTACTCACTTTCTGTCTCCCTTTCTTTTCCTCTGCAGGTTTGAGGTGGGTTTCTCAATGGACTGTGAGGTGATGTTTATGAAGGTCTGCGCTGAAGGCAGGAAGACTGCTAGCTCAGACTGGATGTCCCCATCGCTTCTCACCATGCCCCTTAGAGATGCCTCTCCTCTAATGCTGGACTGGGATCCACGGCAACCGTGGTGGCCATTTTGTCGTACTATTACAACTGCAGATCATTCATCCTGGTGAAATAAACATTCAGCTTTGGCTATTGCGCTCACAAGGATCAATTCAAGCGTAACAATATTGACTTTCATGTGGATGGTCAGATTAATATTCAGGTCTTTAGTTAGCCACACAAAATCGATCCATTTTAAGTAGTCGTGTTTTTATTGAGCCATTATGTATAGTTTAACCATTGTTGTAATTTTTCAATATCTTTGCATAGCTGGAAGTGGATCTAATAAGATTAATGAATGTCTAATGGTGATAGAGCTGTGTGAGCGCTGTCTGTGTTTTCTAGGACAAGGTTAGCTGATTTGTTGTTGGTATGAGAACAAGTAAATTATTTTTCTAAAGTGACTAGGTGGATGAGCTCAAGACAAAAACCACACCAGACATACAGTACCAGTCAAAAGTTTGGACACACCATGAGGTAGTCACCTGGAATGCATTTCAATAAACAGGTGTGCCGTCTTAAAAGTTAATTTGTGGAATTTCTTAATGCGTTTGAGCCAATCAGTTGTTGTGACAAGGTAGGGGGGTATACAGAAGACAGCCCTATTTGGTAAAAGACCAAGTCCATATTATAGCAAGAACAGCTCAAATAAGCAAAGAGAAACGACAGTCCATCATTACTTTAAGACATGAAGGTCAGTCTATCATGAGGACTGCCACAGGAATGGAAGACCCAGAGTTACCTCTGCTGCAGAGGATAAGGTCATTAGAGAGTTACCAGCCTCAGAAATTGCAGCCCAAATAAATGCTTCACAGAGTTCAAGTAACAGACACATCTCAACATCAACTGTTCAGAGGAGACTGTGTGAATCAGGCCTTCATGGTCAAATTGCTGGAAAGAAACCACTACTAAAGGACACCAATAAGAATTTGAATCTGGACTCTGGATTGTCCTTTAATCCATAGTCAAAGAGATGAAGCGGACTACTAGTCTCGTTATCAGTTTTACAACACTTGACACAATTCAAGACTACTTTACTATTGACCCTGTTCTTACTGTAGGTGTTTATTGTATGTTGCTACAGATAACAACATTTCAGATAATTTGATGTAGTACATTTAATGTCATACTGAGGAATCTAGAAAAAATATATTAAATCATGTACTGAAATTAAGATTGAAATTAAAGTCAGTTGTGGCACTATTGTGTAGTTTTACATAATTCCATGTCGAACATTTTAAATCAGGCTTTTCACAATTACACATTGGCACATCTAATCAGAGGCCTCAAAAGACCAAATTGTAAAACAAATAGAAATGTGTCACAATCCTCAGATTGACACAGTAGGCACAGTCAAACATAGCGCTGCAGCACCCCTGAAAAATCATCATAATAAAAACATATCTTTTTTTAATTCACAAAAGTAGTGCACTGGGCCTTTACTAGTCCTGTATTAGCGGACTGATATAGCCTTCTGTAGCACGGGCAAAACATATTCTGCGTCCCCGCCTTGAAAAAAAAAAAGACCTGCAGACCCTATTTTTAAAACCCCTGCTATAATTGACACAAGCTGTCTCCGATCAATCAATCAATGGGCACGTTCAAGCAGATCAATTTTGTCTAGTCAGGGACCATCGTTTGTCACCACGTTTCAATGTGTGTTGTATTATGGGGATAAAACATTTCCAACGCCTCCATGTCGACTGCATGAACTTTACAAAAACCATGTGATCAAAGGTCATGCAGTTGCTTCTCACTAACTGCACCATGCAGCCATCACCTGGGTACTGGGAGCCACTATTTGTCAACCAATCATTACGTTTTTTTTGGTTGACCCATGCAAATGTGACCAAAGATGTGAATGATGCCGCGTTCACATGATAGTCAGAACTAGGAAACTAGAAAATGTCTGACTTGTTAACTCGTTGAACCAGGCACTACAACCAGTTAGCAAGTCGAACATTTCCGACAACAATAATTCTACTTACTTATGCTGTGAATGGATACAAAACCTGGGTAGAACCAGTGGCGAACCGTCATTCAGGGCTTGGCTCAGTGTTTGGCTCAGTGTTCTGTCACTCATACGTCACCGCAAAATCTACAGGGAGAGCTAGAAAGTTCAAGTCCCCTTGGGTGCTGCCATAGATTTACATTAGAAGTGCCCATCCATGAAGGCTCAAGGTCATTGGCCACAGATAAAATTGTAAAATCACATATCTACTGTAGCTTTGATTGGACTGATCATGTCAACATCATACTTTCAAAATCTTAGCTAGCAAGCTAGACAAGCAGTCATCATCATGAATCACTTCGACAATCTACTGGCAAATCCTTTTCAATCCTTGTCAAATGAAGATAATTTATAGATAAAACATATCGGTGCTCATATTGGATATAAATATTACACAACAAGCAAATTCAACAATGAGTGGTTTGGAAGGAATCAGTGGCTAACTGCAAGCGTTGCAAAGCAATCACTATTTTGCTTTCCCTGCCTGCTATTTGGTGGAGAGGGTGTGTGGTCCAAGTCTGTGTTTAAGGGTCTCTTTTCCAAGCTTAAAAGGAGAAACATTCACACGCAACACCATGGGCCACAAAAGGTTGAATATATTGGCCATGCTGTCAATCCAGCATAATTTCTGCTGCATTCAAAACAACTGGAAACTCGGAACTGGGAAATCTCAGACTTCAGTGAGTTCAAGACAACTGGGAACTGGGAAAAAAAACGTTTTGAACATTCATCCAACTCGGAATTCCAAGTCGAGATCTCTGGCCTCTTTCTAGAGCTCCGACCTGAAGATCACTGCTGTCATGTTTTTTTTTTCAGAGTTCCCAGTTGTCTTGAAAGCACCATAAATCCAGAGAATGCCAGACTATGATAGCAAAGTTTCATGACAAAATTTGGCCACAAGAAGGCAGCCACAACACCTTCCTGTTCAAGTGAGCACAGCACAACGGTGAGTCCAAAAAAGTATTGTATGCTGCTGCATAAATGATGTAATGCCAGGGAGATATGTACACTGTAGCTGAGAAAGGAATACTAAGTGTATGTTGTGTAGTAAGCTGTTGGTAATAATTTGGTCCCTTTCCCCCTCATAACTTAGCCTACTGTTCTGACTTAGTGGTGCACATGTAGCCTATAGCCCGTTTTAGAGAAATGTCATCATCGAATATTGTAAGAGCTTTCATTGTGTGCTTACATGCCCCCTTTATTTATCCTACGGTTCTGACTTGGTGTACAGGGAGAACACTGTAAGATGTAACATGTTCTGAATTCTGTCGCTGTACATTTCAGAAGTGCTGAACAAATAGTTATATTGACTACGTCCATCTTAGCTCGCTCATTAATGTCCTAATCGAAATTACAGATTGCCTCTTATCCGCTCATCGTTCCCTTATGCCATAGTTTGTACATCTCAATTGTCAGTAGAAACCACATTTGTTTAAGCAAGTCAGCCATATCAGCTATGTTTGGAAAAAAGCAGTAAATGAGGCTGAATGAACTGTTTCACTGCCAGACAAGGCTCCGCTGATAGCCAGGTGTAGCAGTGGTAAGGTGTTGGGACTGCTGTTGGGACAGCTTTATGTAGGCCCTACCAGTTTGTGGGCACCGTTTGTCATCGTTCTAGTGCAATTCATGTATTGTTTAGTGTTGTGAAGTGGCTTTGCTGGCATGCATCAAACTTTTTTGTTGTTGAATTTGCCCCACCAAGATTGACATGCTGAAGCCGCCACTGGGTAGAACCATCTGGGAAGACTGTGAGAAACTAGCTCCCACAGGTGTAATACTTCTCCAGAAATCGTGCCCCATCCTGCCAATACAATCCATATACAAAAAGCATTGATCAGTTAAGATAACCTGTATTCACCGCTAAGTCTTTTCAGGTCGTCCACATGATGGCACTGTCCTCATGCAAAGTTGTACACTAGTATCTCTGCAATTGTCTTACATGCTGCCTCATTCATCATGTCAATGCAATACAGGTTGAAAGTATTTTGTACCTGATGCGGAGACATGCCAAACTCAAATGACCCATGGTCACAAAGGGGGTCTCCCTCTTCTTTTTCCAGGTCCTCTGCAATCCCAGGATGCTGTGTAACAGTCCACCGTCCTTCTTTGGGTGTACAGGTGGACAGTGGGTAGCTGATAGTCCTAGAGAGGGGTATGTCTATGAGACAGGACAGCATAGTCAAGGTGAATGCAATTTCAATTCCATCTGTTCACAAAGTGAATGGAAATAAATTGCACTTTTTTCCTGAATCAGAATTAAAAAATATAGATCCTGAATTAACTGAATTGACGATTTCCACAAAAAACAGACTCATATTTAAATGTGTGTTGATAAACTCACACTCTGTGTTCACTGTTGTGTACTCACAGGTATCTGCAGATGGGGGGGTTGGCTGTCTCCTGGTAGAGTAGCTCTTGCTCCTGCTTTCTGAGGAGGAAGAGGAGTTTGCTAGTAATGTGCTGCATTTCACTCATTATGTGTGCAGGAGAGGTGGGCTTCACACTGTTGGAACCATTTTATTAGTACTAAGTTCAAACTCCACCCATCCGACACACAAGGCAAGCTCCATCAAGTACACCTAAAGACGCGTATAGAATTGCAGACTATACTTCCTAATCCCAAAGTAAGGAGAAGAGCGCGTTCGACATTGCAGATTACTTTAAATGCAATTCAAGACTGACTGATCTACAAATTACCTTGCTTCCTAAATAATTACTCAATATTATTTGTAGATCAGAAAAATTGTCAAATCATTTACCGAATGGTGGCGCTCTAAACATGTGCAAATTCCCATAGGAACACATTATTTTTTAAAGTGCAGGGCTTGTGCAACATGCCATGTCTTTATTTTTCCTCTAAAAGGAATTATCTACTGTACATCTCAGGAGAAAGCTGAAGTCTCTACCTATCCATTGATGTAAATATGTCCCCTGTCTGATTCCCAGTTTGTCTACTAGAAAGCAGTAGGAGATCACATGACGTCTCTTGGCCACCTGAAACCAGTTGCGTCTGGTTTGGGTAGTGAGTCACTGGCTGAACGGATTTTCAAGCCTGACATCTTGAAATGACCCTAGTAATCATGGCTTTCAAGTTATGGAGTTCATTTTTGAAAATAAGACACAGAATTCACTATTCCTATTGTAAACGATGAGCAGGATGGATGGAGAAGGAAAAGCATTGCTTTACAATGATCATCAGGGTGTACGCTTTCTTTCCATGCAAATTAAATATTTGCACTTTCGGAAACTTGACCTACATTGCATACTCTATGAACATGACCATAGCGCATGATCTATGGCCTTTATGGTGAGGGTAAGATTTGAGTTTGATATAGTAAGATTTGAGTTTGATTTCCAAAAATACAAGGACTGTTGCTTTCAAATTATATGTTACTTTCTATTTTCTGAAGAAAAAGTATGTTTTGGGGGTTAACCCCTAAACTCGCTGGACCTGGTACCGGGTCCAAACCACCACTCCGAGCTTAAAAGGTTTTAAGGATAACCAATGATCCAATAATGTTTAGGCAGAAAGCTGCCATACTGTATAGAGTCACCACTTTCCTAGATAGAGAAACCCATTTTGACCTTTAACCCCTCATATCTGCGCTCCTCTCTTTCCCTGGCCTGGGCCTGCAGCTCCTCCTCCTCTCTGGTTGGCTGGCTGTGTTGCATCATCCTCCTGATCAGGACCCTGCAGGGCAAGCCACCTCTCATTGGCCAGCATGTCACACAGCTGCTGGTACTGGGCACAGCAGAAGAGCTGTGTGTCCGAGGGCATGTGTGTGAGATAGGGAATGAAAGAGAGATGTAGAGTAATATACAGTCAAAACATATAGCCCAATGTTTGTATCACAACTAAAGTTGCATAAATAACTCTAAATTAAGCAAATAGGAGGACCTGTTTCTTTGTTAACCGCACAACACAGAATATCTGCATGTGCTCAAATCATTTGGAGAAAATATCCTTTCTATACTGAATAAAAATAACTCAACATGCAACAATTTCAAAGATTTTACTGAGTTACAGTTCATATAAGGAAATCAGTCAACTGAAATAAATTCGTAAGGCCCTAATCTATGGATTTCACATGACTGGGAATACATTTATATATCTGTTAGTCACAGATACTGTACCTTTAAAAAAACGTAGGAGCATACAAAGCAGCTCAGTATTTATTTAATACAATCATTTTTTTTCTCATCTTTATCAATGGTGTTAATAATTTTGGACATCATTATATGTGTCACAAAAATGACCTGGGTTTATACCCGGTTGGTCTTTTCCCTTTATTTTTTAAAGCGGTCTCTTCTTTGTTTTCAATGTCTCCTCCAGTCCTATCATTTCACTCCTGATGATACTATTTGTCTCCATGGAGGCCCCTCCTCCTTCGTTCACCCCATTCTGTCCACCACTATATATTTTCAGATCCTACTCTCTACAGAGCACACACACACTCACACACACAATTCCACATTGCTGTGTTTTCATTCCTGAAATTGAGTCACAAGAACCATGAAACATGAGAGTGCCAGTGTCTTTGAAAGCCTAGCACACATCAATACTGTTTGCTTGTCTTCACGTGTCTTTACTTGAAAGTCTTGAATGACAGCTATTTAGTTGCCACTGATGCTGGAGATGAGTGACATCCTTGGGCGATCACTACATCTCTCCCTGTCCACTTTTCATCCGGCTCAATGGTTTGACTCTCGGCTCATCACTGTCCCTTGATGTGGGTTGGCATTTTGATCGCTAGTCTCTTGAGAAGCAAGTGTGTCTCTGCAATGACTGTAAGTACCATTAATTCATGTTTTTCTGGCGTGAGTGATAGTGGAGGCTGCTGAGGGGAGGACGGCTCATAATAATGGCTGTGTTTGATGTATATGATACCATTCCAGTAATTCCACTCCAGCCATTACCATGAGCCTGTCCTCCCTAATTAAGGTGCCACCAACCTCCTGTGGTATGTGATAAGATGGCATGTCAGAATTCCATTATATGGTTCCATGATATTCACATGATCATTTGATTGTTTACTGACTGTTCTCTTTTAGTAACGCTGCTATAGTAGATACTAAATAGATATAACTACACCATATCTGTCCTGTGTGAGCCATCACTCTGAAAGGATGTTCCCATAATGATCTGATGAATATCCGGAATACTTTTGTTTCTCAACATCACATTAGATGTAATCATGTATCGGGGCTATTTGGGAGTGATGCAGTGTAAACCTGTGCCGTGTTGCCAAATGTGAACATGCACGTGCATATTAAAAACACCTCTTGATCCTCTTATTCTCAGGAAAATAGAGGAAAGGATGGAGATAAGAACTGACCTCTATCCCCGCCTCTGTGCCCAAACAATAATAATTCAGCCCCTCCCCCATCCTTGAACCAGGCTCTTTCCACAGGCCCGGTCATCTAACGCAGGAGGACTTTGACATGGATGTGAATGAGCAGGAGGAGGAGGAAAAACGCCACAAGAAGAAGGCCATAGGCCAGTGGTGGGTGAGCAAGTGCAACAAAGATGCATGTGAGGAAGAAAAAGAAGGAAGAAGAAGAAATGGCGGAGGCAGGTTAGTTGACAGTCTGAGTTGGGCTGAGGAGCTGCAGGGCATTCTCAGTCCTCTGGCTGAGGCTGACTGTCAAAGGAGAACAAGCAGATCATTCGACATCACTGTAAGTGCTCTCTCTCTCTTTCTCTCTCTCTCTCTCTCTCTCTCGTGCGCTCTCTCTTTCGTGCGCGTACTCTCTCTCTCTCTCTCTCTCTCTCTCTCTCTCTCTCTCTCGCGCGCGCGCGTGCTCTCTCTCTCCTTTTTTATCTCTCTTCCACTCTAACACTGAACAGACCTCAGCCAGCCAGTGAAAGTGTAGAGTAAGCAATTAACTGGAAACCGATCCATGATTTGACCAATCAGTTGTCATGTGATGAGATGAGGAAGTGGGGGACCATTCCAGCTACAGTCACTGGTTTTCAATGGTACCCTGTGGACTAAGTATTTCCTCTCTATTTATTTTATAGCCACAGTATAATAGATTAAGTGAAGTGACGGAGGATGACTCAAAAGGTTCATTAGTTTAATCAGCCACAGTGACACAGCAGCACCCTGAGAGCCGAGTGTGTGTGTGTGTGTGTGTGTGTGTGTGTGTGTGTGTGTGTGTGCATGCCTTCTCTTTGTCTTATGACTCACCACACTTGGACTGATGGTCAAGAGAGAGGAACAATCCTCCAGGAGGAAAACAAACAAAGTGTACACTCAAAAACATACATGTACAATCATGTACACAAACACGGCATTAGGTGAATGTTAGGTTTGCCAACATCCTGGTCAGCTCTCCTTCCACTGTTTTGCCTCCAGTGGAACAGATGATACCTCACATTATACAACAGTCTTGCTCTTTGCATAATATCCTGAATATCATTTCAATCTGGTAAAGCAGATTACATTTAGCCTAGTCTCTCCACCTCACATTCACTCCCATCCTAATTCTCTATCTATCTCAACATCTCTCCTTGAATTTCTCCCTTCACATTTTTTCATCTTCCCATCTCTCCCTTTCACGCTTCATCAATCATGTTGTTCCCATGGTGGAATGGAGCGATAGGGAGATGGAGGTAGAGAAAGAGGTGAATGGAGGATACAGAGAAAGAGAGAGATGGAGGAGCAGATAGGTCTGGGAAGCTGCAGCCATGCTAACAGTCACCAGGAGGAGAGTAGTAGAGAGTGCCCACGTCTTTCCATCAGCTGCGCAGACTCTCCCCCTCCTACCTTCCTTCTCTCTATCCATCCCCCTCCCTCCTTCTCTCCTCCCTCCTTCTCTCCTCCCTCCCACGTTCTTCTGCGTGTAGCTGTGGTATATGAGTGGGTCTCCTGGGTCTAGCTCACTGCAGTGTATGGAAGGGTAGGGCTGCTGCCTGTACAATGCGCTGAAGGATGGTACACCAGGAGAAACGTATTTACCAGGTGTGTGTTTGTAGTATAATGTATACCATGTATTCAAATACCGAATGTGTTAGCTTAATATAGGTATGTTAGGTGAATGTGTGGGTTATGTGTACGTGTGTGATTTTTATCATGTAAGGGTGTGTCCGTGTGTATATTTGACCTGATTGTGCGTGTATTTCCGACTACAAACATTAGCCTGTAGTTTTTGCTGTGCCATCCTGTGTGTGTGTACATTTCTGGTGTGTGTATGCTTTTTTATGTGTGCATTTCTGCATAGGTGCTGTTTCTCCTAGGTGGGTGTGGACATTTTGTACAATGTACATTGCATGAGAGTTTGTTTGAGAGTAGGTTTATGCCATGCTTTTAACAGTAATACATATCATATACCTAAAACACCATACAGGGTGTGCTGTTTATTACATATGTTTCATATGGGCTATGTGGTCTATCTACCCAGTAGGACAGTACCTGGCTATGTGGTCTATCTACCCAGTAGGACAGTACCTGGCTATGTGGTCTATCTACCCAGTAGGACAGTACCTGGCTATGTGGTCTATCTACCCAGTAGGACAGTACCTGGCTATGTGGTCTATCTACCCAGTAGGACAGTACCTGGCTATGTGGTCTATCTACCCAGTAGGACAGTACCTGGCTATGTGGTCTATCTACCCAGTAGGACAGTACCTGGCTGTGTATGTAGATGGTTTATCTACCCAGTAGGACAGTACCTGGCTGTGTGTGTAGATGGTTTATCTACCCAGTAGGACAGTACCTGGCTGTGTATGTAGATGGTCTATCTACCCAGTAGGACAGTACCTGGCTGTGTGTGTAGATGGTTTATCTACCCAGTAGGACAGTACCTGGCTGTGTATGTAGATGGTCTATCTACCCAGTAGGACAGTACCTGGCGGTGTGGTCTATCTACCCAGTAGGACAGTACCTGGCGGTGTGGTCTATCTACCCAGTAGGACAGTACCTGGCGGTGTGGTCTATCTACCCAGTAGGACAGTACCTGGCGGTGTGGTCTATCTACCCAGTAGGACAGTACCTGGCTGTGTATGTAGATGGTCTATCTACCCAGTAGGACAGTACCTGGCTGTGTGTGTAGATGGTTTATCTACCCAGTAGGACAGTACCTGGCTGTGTGTAGATGGTCTATCTACCCAGTAGGACAGTACCTGGCTGTGTATGTAGATGGTCTGTTTACCCAGTAGGACAGTACCTGGCTGTGTGTGTAGATGGTCTGTCTACCCAGCAGGACAGTACCTGGCTGTGTGTAGATGGTCTATCTACCCAGTAGGACAGTACCTGGCTGTGTGTGTAGATGGTCTATCTACCCAGTAGGACAGTACCTGGCTGTGTGTAGATGGTCTATCTACCCAGTAGGACAGTACCTGGCTGTGTATGTAGATGGTCTATCTACCCAGTAGGACAGTACCTGGCTATGTGGTCTATCTACCCAGTAGGACAGTACCTGGCTGTGTGTAGATGGTCTATCAGTAGGATAGTTCCTGGCTCGGTCTCCAGTGGGAGGAGACTAGAGTGGGTGGAATGTTGGCTGCTTCCTCTACAATGGGAGTGTCCATCTGTGATTTATGACGTTACATCACAGCCCATCTGTCTGTGTGTGTGTGTGTTTCTGTTTGTTTCTATGTTTGTGCGTGTTCATGTTCGTGTTTGTGCTTGTTGTTGTTGTATTTCTGTGTTTGTGAGTGCGTATGTGTGGTATGGGCAATGCATAATAGATTTGAGAGGAGGTATGTATTTGTTGTGATGTGTGTTGGTGTTTGTGTGTTGCGGTGATGTGGGAGTGCATGTGTTGGCACAGTCTATGAATGGGCAGGAGGAAGTGTGGGTAGAGTCTAAAATGTGTCAATCAATTTATTTATGAAGCCCTTTTTACATCAGCAGATGTCACAAAGTGCTATACAGAAACCCAGCCTAAAACCCCCAACAGCAAGCAATGCAGATGTTGAAGTGTGTGTGTGTGTGTGTGTGTGTGTGTGTGTGTGTGTGTGTGTGTGTGTGTGTGTGTGCGTGTGTGTGTTGTGTGCGCGTGCGCGTGTGATACAACACATACTACAAGTGGGCCTGAGGGATATGGGCCCAGTAATGGACTCTAAATATAACATTAGTGTGGAAAAACTGGAAAGGAAAATCATGTTTACTGTAGCACGATGCATTTTCATTGGTTCTCTTTCTACACTGTATGTGGTTGCAGGAGCAGGTCTTTGAGAAGATAGGATATGTACATCAACCTAAAAGCTATATGACATAAACAACCTGCCCAGGACAAAATGTGCTTTGGATGTAGTGGGTAGAGAGAACATACTGAAAAAATAAGGAGAGGAGGAAGAAACTGAGAAATAGAGATAGGGGTGGATAATAGAATGAATAGTCAGGAATGGAAAATGGGACAGATCAGGTGAAGCAGGAAATAGAAGAGAGGTAAGATGAGATGAAATCAGTGCGAGGTGACTGGACATTTTCTGGCCCATCAAAATTGTCCTTTGACAGGTCCAGTGAGTGTGTGTTGATCATAGAGATACTATCAAATGACTCTAATTCCTAATTCTATGGTGTTGATGGCCATTATTGATGACCTCACAATAGGCAGCCTATCTACTGAAGGCTATTGATGGTGACCTCGATGAGTGTTTCTTTGTCGCTCCGCCACTCACTGTAGAAAACTAGGCTACAATAGTGAATAGGAGGGACGTGTGTCTATTTATGTGGTGTGTTTATAAAAATACAGTACCAGTCAAAAGTTTGGACACACCTACTCAGGGTTTTTCTTTATTTTTACTATTTTCTACATTGTGGAATAATAGTGAAGACATCAAAACTATGAAATAGCACATATGGAATCATGTGGTAACCAAAAAAGTGTTCAACAAATATATTTTATATTCTCTCAACCAGCTTCACCTGGAATGCTTTTCCAACAGTCATAAAGGAGTTCCCACATATGGTGAGCACTTTTTGGCTGCTTTTCCTTCACTCTGCCGTCCGACTCATCCCAAACCATCTCAATTGGTTTGAGGTCGGGGGATTGTGGAGGCCAGGTCATCTGATGTAGCACTCCATCACTCTCCTTCTTGGTAAAATAGCCCTTACGCAGCCTGGAGGTGTGTTGGGTCGTTGTCCTGTTGAAAAACAAATGATAGTCCCACTAAGCCCAAACAAGATGGGATGGTGTATCGCTGCAGAATGCTGTGGTAGCAATGCTGGTTAGTGTGCCTTGAATTCTAAATAAATCACAGACATTGTCACCAGCAAAGCACCCCCACACCCCCACACCATAACAGATCCTCCTCCATGCTTTACGGTGGGAACTACAAATGCGGAGATCATCCGTACACCCACACCGCGTCTCACAAAGACACAGCGGTTGGAACCAAAAATCTCTCATTTGGACTCCAGACCAAAGGACACATTTCCACCGGCCTAATGTCCATTGCTCGTGTTTCTTGGCCCAAGCAGGTCTCTTCTTCTTATTGGTGTCCTTTAGTAGTGGTTTCTTTGCAGCAATTCGACCATGAAGGCCTGATTCACACAGTCCCCTCTGAACAGTTGATGTTGAGATATGTCTATGACTTGAACTCTGTGAAGCATTTATTTGCAATTTCTGAGGCTGGTAACTCTAATGAACTTATCCTCTGCAGCAGAGGTAACTCTGGGTCTTCCATTCCTGTGGCGGTCCTCATGAGAGCCAGTTTCATCATAGCGCTTGATGGTATTTGCGACTGCACTTGAAGAAACTTTCAAAGTAATGATGGACTGTCATTTCTCTTTGCTTATTTGAGCTGTTCTTGCCATAATATGGACTTGGTCTTTTACCAAATATGGCTATCTTCTGTATACCCCCCCTACCTTGTCACAACACAACTGATTGGCTCAAACGCATTAAGAAGGAAAGAAATTCCATAAATTAACTTTTAAGAAGGCACACCTGTTAATTTGAAATGCATTCCAGGTGACTACCTCATGAAGCTGGTTGAGAGAATGCCAAGAGTGTGCAAAGCTGTCATCAAGGCAAAGGGGGGCTATTTGAAGAATCTCAAATATAAAATATAGTTTGATTTGTTTAACACTTTTTTGGTTACTACATGATTCCATATGTGTTATTTCATAGTTGTGATGTCTTCACTATTATTCTACAATGTAAAAAATAGCAAAAATAAAGAAAAACCCTTGAATGAGTAGGTGTGTCCAAACTTTTGACTGGTAGTGTACATATGAGTGCACTTCTCTCCATCTATAAATGGCCTTTGATCTATGTGGGGTGAACGTTTGGGAGGTATGGAGTATTTTTATACGTTCAAGTGTGATCCTATTAGTGGTTTGTGGTATATTGTGCTATATGTGATGTGTATGCTGTATGTGTATGGTATGGTATTTGTGTGATAAGAGTATGTGTGATGCGTTCATGTGTGTGGGTGTAAGTGTGTGTGTGTGGTTGTAAGTGTGTGTTTTCCTCTTGGCGTGCGTAGCTCTTTCCTTTCTCTTCGCGGCTCATTGAGTCAACAGTGATTTCACCTCTAGAATGAACTCAGACTCCATTACAACGCTCCATCCATCCCTTCTTCGCCATTCCTCCACTCATCTCTTCTCTTTGTGTGCTTGTGTGAACATACTCCAATTCTACATCCCCCTATTGCTTTGGTTTAAGCAAGAGCATGCATTATTCGTTGTAATACTGACATTTGTTTTGCGTTTTATTTAATTTGCTCAGAATATTTTAATGTTGTCCAATCATCTTAGTTTACTGTGTCTCTTAAAGACTCCAATACATGAAAATCCTTAATCTTTATCATTGATGCCTGTTTTTATCATTAGGGTTTTTACTTCAGGTTTATTGTGGTATTGTAGTATTATTGGAGTATTGATCTGTTCTATTTGGCTCTACCTCCACCAGGCCCAGAGGAATGACAGAGAGTCCATCAGGCAGAAGCTGGCTCTTGGCAGTTTCTATGACGACGAAGAGCCAGTCATCTACAACAGCTGCAGCAAGAACGGCCTTCCCTCCCGGTGGGTTTGTGTTATGGTGATAATGTTTGTGTGTGTGCATGCGTACATGTTTCTTTTTGCTTGTGTTCTCTACGTGAAATAGGTAGGGTCAAATGAAACCTTTTGAGTTTACTGTAGTGTGTGTTGTAGTATTATGAAATAAGACATTGACCATCCTTTCGGGACAGTTTCAGCTACTGCAGCAGTAAAATGTGACAATAGCATCATTATATAAATATTGAGAGTAAGTTGTATAGCACTCTTTCCACCACTAGATGGTGTGGTGCTGTAGAGCTCAGTGAGTATTTGATATACAGTACTTTCTAGTGGAAGCGCTCTAGGCACAGGTCTAGGATTAGTTTACCCTCTGCCAAAAACTGACCGGCTCAGATTAGCGTCTCTAGGGGAAGCCTCATCCTTGAATAGAGAGTACTCAAATATAAACCATGTGGTATTGGTGAATATTCCATCTTGACAACAGGCTGGCAGGGTGGAATTACTACCATATTACACTGAACAAAAATATAAACACAACATGCAACAATTTCAAATATTTCACTGAGTTACAGTTCATTTAAGGAAATCAGTCAATTGAAATGAATTCATTAGGCCCTAATGTATGGATTTCACATGACTGGAAATACAGATATGCATCTGTTGGTCACATATACCTTTAAAAAAAAGTAGGGGCGTGGATCAGAAAAGCAGTCAGTATCTGGTGTGACCACCATTTGCCTCATGCAGCGCGACACATCTCCATCGCATAGAGTTGATCAGGCTGTTGATTGTGACCTGTGGAAGGTTGTCCCACTCCTCTTCAATGGCTGTGCGAATAAGCTGGATATTGGCGGGAACTGGAACACGCTGTCGTACACGTTGATCCAGAGCATCCCAAACATGCTCAGTGGGTGACATGTCTGGTGAGTATGTAGGCCATGGTACAACTGGGACATTTTCAACTGTACAGATCCTTGCTAAATGGGGCTGTGCGTGCATCATCATGCTGAAACATGAGGTGATGGCAGCGGATCAATGGCACAACAATGGGCCTATCGTCCACGGTATCTCTGTGCATTCAAATTGCCATCGATAAAATGCAATTGTGTTCATTGTCTGTAGCTTATGCCTGCCCATACCTTAACCCCACCGCCACCATGGGGCACTCTGTTCACAATGTTGACATCAGCAAACCACTCGCCCACACGACGCCATACACGCTGTTTGCCATCTGCCCCGTACAGTTGAAGCCGAGATTCATCCATGAAGAGCACACTTCTCCAGCATGCCAGTGGCCATTGAAGGTGAACATTTACCCACTGAAGTCGGTTACGACACCGAACTGCAGTCAGGTCAAGACCCTGGTGAGGACGACGAGAATGCAGATGAGCTTCCCTGAGACGGTTTATGACTGTGCAGAAAGTCTCAGACCATTCCGCTGGTGAAGAAGCCGGATGTGGAGGTTCTGGGCTTGTGTGGTTACCCATGGTCTGCGGTTTTGACGCCAGTTGGACGTACTGCCAAATTCTTTAAAACGACGTTGGAGGCGGCTTATGGTGGAGAAATTAACATTCAATTATTTGGCAACAGCTCTGGTGGACATTACTGCAGTCAGCATGCCAATTGTGCGCTCCCTCAAAACTTGAGACATCTGTGGCATTGTGTTGTGTGACAAAACTGCACATTTTAGAGTGGCCTTTTAAGAAAAAGCCATATCTCAGACTGGCCAATAAAAATAAAAGATTAAGATGGGCAGTCTGAGATATGTTTTTTTTTTCAACTCTGCCTAGAAGGTCAGCATCCCGGAGTCGCCTCTTCTCTGTTTACGTTAAGACTGGTGTTTTGCGGGTACTATTTAATGAAGCTGCCAGTTGAGGACCTGTGAGGTGCCTGTTTCTCAAACTAGACACTCTAATGTATTTGTCATCTTGCTCAGTTGTGCACCGGGGCCTCCCAATTCTCTTTCTATTCTGGTTAGAGAAAGTTTGCGCCGTTCTGTGAAGGGAGTAGTACACAGCGTTGTACGAGATCTTCAGTTTCTTGGAAATTTCTCTCATAGAATAGCCTTCATTTCTCAGAACAAGAATAGACTGACGAGTTTCAGAAGAAAGTTATTTGTTTATGGCCATTTTGAGCCTGTAATCGAACCCACAATTGCTGATGCTCCAGATACTCAACTAGTCTCAAGAAGGCCAGTTTTATTGCTTCTTTAATCAGCACAACAGTTTTTAGCTGTGCTAACATAATTGCAAAAGGTTTTTCTAATGATCAATTAGCCTTTTAAAATGATCAACTTGGATTAGCAAACACAATGTGCCATTGGAACACAGGACTGATGGTTGCTGATAATGGGCCTCTGTACGCCTATGTAGATATTCCATTAAAAATCAGCCATTTACAACATTAACAATGTCTACACTGTATTTCTGATCAATTTTATGTTATTTTAACAGTAGTGTATATACTGTATTCTATTTTACAGTATTTTAGTCAATACCACTCCGACATTGCTCTATCTAATATTTATATATTTCTTAATTCCATTCCTTTACTTTTAGATTTGTGTGTATTGTTTTGAATTGTTAGATACTACTGCACTGTTGGAGCTAGGAACACAAGCATTTCACTACACCCGCAATAACATCTGCTAAATATGTGTAGGTGACCAATAACATTTGATTTGATTTGAAGAACATATTACACCCACACACTGTAGGTTTGTGAATACCAAAATGCATGAGTATAGACACAAGGTTAATCGAATCCCTCAGAAACTGCATGTCTCTCTGACGCGTGAACATGAGTGTCCTACACCTTGCTCTTTTCCTAGAAAAGAGGTAGGAGTTTAGTCAAATTAAAGGGGACCGCCCCCAGTCCAGTTTAGGGAAGCGCTCATCTGTCTGTGGTCTTGCCACTGGAAATAAAGAAGTGTTGGCTTTTTCTGTCCACTGCTCCTATTGGATGTTCTCTTGTCACATGACCCTTAGTGAAGGTCAAACTGTAACAACCGGTACATTGTAAGTTGGAAAATCCAATGTGAACAGGCATTTGGGGGTTGGGTGTGGTTCCTTACTTCATGTTTTGTTAGAGCTTGAATGAATGAGGTTAGTATGAGCTGTTATCATCACTCTGGCCAAGAGACTGTCAGCCACAGCTGGCTGGTGGGCACCTTAATTGGGGACGAATGGCTGGAATGGAATGTTTGATACTATTCCATTTACTCCATTCCAGCCATTATTATGAGCCGTCCTCCCCTCACCAGCCTCCTGTGCTGTCAACGGTTCCAATTATTGTGTCATGTTGTGCGTTTGTTGTTTCATTGAACCTTTTGTTGTTGCTTGTTTTACTTATTGAGGAGGGAGCCTTATTGAGCCGGGTTTCGTAACCCTTGATGCTACACCTAATCTGTTACTTATAATAGTGATTGCATGATGTAAGCAATTGAAACCACACAATGCCCCAAACACCCTACATGATCCCTTCTGCCCTCTTTCACTCTCCTGTGCGGATTTGAGATGACTGGGTTGATGTAAAAGCAATAGTTCCACCTTTCATGATTTTTTTGAAAGCAACTTTCTGGAATGAAATGAAGCCCCAGATCTAAGATTCGCAAAGGACAGTGAAATGAAGCCAGGATTTTTTCCCCTGCCCCTGCACATTTGCTCATTTGCTCAATTCAATTCCAAATTGACCGCTAGCCGCTACCCTTAGGGGCTTTGTGTAGATCTAAAAGGATTGGAAAGAGAAAAGCAATATGGTGAAAATTCAAGCTAATGTATATATCAGTGGTCCACCTTGAGAATATTACCATACCTACTCAATAATTTCCTATCTACAGGAAATGCCTAAGGGTATAGGGTTATATGGGTCAATGTGGAATTTAGCCATTCTCTCTCCCCTGGGAGGGGCCTCCACGTTCGGAAGGGGGGAGAGAACTCCCCCTTTCTCAAGGGTGTAGAGGTGAGGATTATAGTCGTAGCAACCGAAAAAGGAGAGAAGCGAGGTTAACGAGAGTCCCCCTAGAGAAGAAAGAGGCGAGATAGAGAGAAAGTACGAGACGAGACGAAAAAAAGATAGCTAAAGAGAGAGAGCGAAAGAGAGATGAAGGTCTAAGAGGCGCTTCAAAAGTAGATAAGAAGGCCGTGTGTCTCGGACTCTCTATCCTTCTATCTATCTTCCCCCCTTCCATTCGACACATATCGACCTCTCCATCCAGACATCGTCATCTCACCATCCCTATGGTCTCTCTCTCACTCTTTCTCTCTCTCTCTCTCTCTCTCTCTCTCTCTCTCTCTCTCTCTCTCTCTCTCTCTTGCTCTATTGGTCTCTCACTGTGCAGGCCTCAGAGTGGTGTGAATCTGCAGGTCTGTTTTGTGAATGACAGCAGCAGTGACAAGGACAGTGATGCCGAGGACAGCAAGACAGAGACAAGCCTGGATACGCCGCTGTCACCCGTGGTACACACTGTGGATGTAAATGTGTGTGTGTGAGTTTGTGTGTGTTCTCCACATTCATTCACACAATTGATTCATTTGAACCTGACTTAACAGGAGAAAAAGAAGCAAATTGACTGTGGAATGTATGTGTGTGAGCATACACTTACACCAATGACGATGACTTTGAAGTATGTATGTATAGGGGACGTGGGTAATCATACATTATCGTCTATGATTCTGTATAATCACTCTGGTGTACATATGTGTTTTTCCAGAGTAAGCAGAGTTCGTCCCTGTCGGACCGGGACACAGGCGAGGAGGACTCGGACCCCCTGGAGGAATGTGGCTTCTGGCGAGTGCAGCGGCGGCTCCAGGAGGAGGCCCGGGTGGCGCTGGCGTTGGCTCGCCCCATGGCCCGCATGCAGGTGGAGGTAGAGAGACAGATCCAGCTCCACCGCCGCTCGCCCGTCGCTGACCTGGTCAGTGTGTGTGTTGTAGACCTGTCATTTCTGATAAGTTGACTTGGCTGGAGAGAGAGGAGACTTGAGGCCATGGTGTGATTGAAGTAACACATTTAATACAGAATTATTCTGGCTACATGCATTACAATTGCAAGACGCGAGAGCAAGTTAAATCTTAGATGCAAGGGCATAGTACAAAATGAATAGCATGGCATTTCCGTTTACAGTTTGGTGTCAAAAGCAGTGGTGGAAAAAGTATTTAATTGTCATACTTCAGTAAAAGTAAAGATACCTTAATAGAAAATGACTCAAGTAAAAGTGAAAGTCAACCAGTAAATACTACTTGAGTAAAAGTATTTGGTTTTAAATATACTTAAGTATCAAATGTAAAAGTTAAGTATAAACCATTTCAAATTCCTTATATTAAGCAAACCAGACGGCACAATTTATTTAATTTTTTTTATTGACGGATAGCCAGGAGCACACTCCAACACTCAGACATAATTTACAAACAAAGCATTCTGTTTAGTGAGTCTGCCAGATCAGAGGCAGTAGGGATGACCAGGGATGTTCTCTTGATAAGTGTGTGAATTGGAGCATTTTTCTGTCAAAATGTAACGAGTACTTTTGGGTGTCAGGGAAAATGTACATTATTTTCTTTAGGAATGTAGTGAAGTAAAAGTAAAAGTTGTCAAAAATATAAATAGTGAAGTAAAGTACAGATACCCCAAAAAACTACTTAAGTAGTACTTTAAAGTATTTTTACTTAAGTACTTTACACCACTGGTCAAAAGCAGTGGCTTAAAAGCCCTAATGGCAAAGAAGCAAATTCTTCTTCTGAGTCTCAAGACTACATAGTCATTCTGAATTACGTATACAGTGGGGAGAACAAGTATTTGATACACTGCAGATTTTGCAGGTTTTCCAATTTACAAAGCATGTAGAGGTCTGTAATTTTTATCATATGTACACTTCAACTGTGAGAGATGGAATCTAAAACAAAAATCCAGAAAATCACAATGTATGATTTTTAAGTAATTAATTTGCATTTTATTGCATGACATAAGTATTTGATACATCAGAAAAGCAGAACTTAATATTTGGTACAGAAACCAATTACAGAGATCATACGTTTCCTGTAGATCTTGACCAGGTTTGTACACACTGCAGCAGGGATTTTGGCCCACTCCTCCATACAGACCTTCTCCAGATCCTTCAGGTTTCGGGGCTGTCGCTGGGCAATACGGACTTTCAGCTCCCTCCAAATATTTTCTTTTGGGTTCAGGTCTGGAGACTGGCTAGGCCACTCCAGGACCTTGAGATGCTTCTTACGGAGCCACTCCTTAGTTGCCCTAGCTGTGTGTTTTGGGTCGTTGTCATGCTGGAAGACCCAGCCACGACCCATCTTCAATGCTCTTACTAAGGGAAGGAGGTTGTTGGCCAAGATCTTGTGATACATGGCCCCATCCATCCTCCCCTCAATACGGTGCAGTCGTCCTGTCCCCTTTGCAGAAAAGCATCCCCAAAGAATGATATTTCCACCTCCATGCGGTTGGGATGGTGTTCTTGAGGTTGTACTCATCCTTCTTCTTCCTCCAAACATGGCGAGTGGAGTTTAGACCAAAAAGCTCTATTCTTGTCTCATGAGACATTTACATTTACATTTTAGTCATTTAGCAGACGCTCTTATCCAGAGCGACTTACAGGAGCAATTAGGGTTAAGTGCCTTGCTCAAGGGCACATTAACGTCATTTAGCAGACGCTCTTAGCCAGAGCAACTCACAAATTGGTGCGTTCACCCTATAGCCAGTGGGATAACCACTTTACAATTTGGGGGGGGGGGGGGGGGGGGGGGGGTTAGAAGGAATACTTTATCCTATCCCAGGTATTCCTTAAAGAGGTGGGGTTTCAAATGTCTCCGGAAGGTGGTGAGTGACTCCGCTGTCCTGGCGTCGTGAGGGAGCTTGTTCCACCATTGGGGTGCCAGAGCAGCGAACAGTTTTGACTGGGCTGAGCGGGAGCTATGCTTCCGCAGAGGAAGGGGAGCCAGCAGGCCAGAGGTGGATGAACGCAATGCCCTCGTTTGGGTGTAGGGACTGATCAGAGCCTGAAGGTACAGAGGTGCCGTTCCCCTCACTGCTCCATAGGCAAGCACCATGGTCTTGTAGCGGATGCGAGCTTCAACTGGAAGCCAGTGGAGTGTGCGGAGGAGGGGGGGTGACGTGAGAGAACTTGGGAAGGTTGAACACCAGACGGGCTGCGGCATTCTGGATGAGTTGTAGGGGTAATGGCACAGGCAGGGAGGCCAGCCAACAGCGAGTTGCAGTAGTCCAGACGGGAGATGACAAGTGCCTGGACCAGGACCTGCGCCGCTTCCTGTGTAAGGCAGGGTCGCACTCTCCGAATGTTGTAGAGCATGAACCTGCAGGAGCGGGTCACCGCCTTGATGTTGGCGGAGAACGACAGGGTGTTGTCCAGGGTCACGCCTAGGCTCTTCGCACTCTGGGAGGAGGACACAGCGGAGTTGTCAACCGTGATGGCGAGATCATGGAACGGGCAGTCCTTCCCCGGGAGGAAGAGCAGCTCCGTCTTGCCAGGGTTCAGCTTGAGGTGGTGATCCGTCATCCATACTGATATGTCTGCCAGACATGCAGAGATGCGATTCGCCACCTGGTTATCAGAAGGGGGAAAGGAGAAGATTAGTTGTGTATCGTCAGCGTAGCAATGATAGGAAAGGCCATGTGAGGATATGACAGAGCCAAGTGACTTGGTGTATAGGGAGAAAAGGAGAGGGCCTAGAACCGAGCCCTGGGGGACACCAGTGGTGAGAGCACGTGGTGCGGAGACAGCTTCCCGCCACGCCACTTGGTAGGAGCGACCGGTCAGGTAGGACGCAATCCAGGAGTGAGCCGCGCCGGAGATGCCCAGCTCGGAGAGGGTGGAGAGGAGGATCTGATGGTTCACAGTATCAAAGGCAGCAGACAGGGGGGGGGGGGATTCAGGAGGGAGGAAAATGTGGCAAAGAGCTTCCTAGGGTTAGAGGCAGATGCTTGGAATTTAGAGTGGTAGAAGGTGGCCTTAGCAGCAGAAACAGATGAAGAAAATGTAGAGAGGAGGGAGTGAAAAGATGCCAGGTCGGCAGGGAGTTTAGTTTTCTTCCATTTCCGCTCCGCTGCCCGGAGCTCTGTTCTGTGAGCTCGCAATGAGTCATCAAGCCACGGAGCTGGAGGGGAGGACCGAGCCGGCCGGGAGGATAGGGGACACAGAGAGTCAAAGGATGCAGAAAGGGAGGAGAGGAGGGTTGAGGAGGCAGAATCAGGAGATTGGAGGGAGAAGGATTGAGCAGAGGGAAGAGATGATAGGATGGAAGAGGAGAGAGTAGTGGGAGAGAGAGAGCGAAGGTTGCGGCGGCGCATTACCATCTGTGTAGGGGCAGAGTGAGTAGTGTGGGAGGAGAGTGAGAGAGAAAAGGAAACAAAGTAGTGGTCGGAGACATGGAGGGGAGTTGCAGTGAGATTAGTAGAGGAGCAGCATCTAGTGAAGATGAGGTCAAGCGTATTGCCTGCCTTGTGAGTAGGGGGGGACGGTGAGAGGGTGAGGTCAAAAGAGGAGAGGAGTGGAAAGAAGGAGGCAGAGAGAAATGAGTCAAATGTGGACATAGGGAGGTTGAAATCCCCCAAAACTGTGAGGGGTGAGCCATCCTCAGGGAAGGAACTTATCAAGGCGTCAAGCTCATTGATGAACTCTCCAAGGGAACCTGGAGGGCGATAGATGACAAGGATATTAAGCTTAAATGGGTTAGTGACTGTGACAGCATGGAATTCAAATGAGGAGATAGACAGATGGGTTAGGGGAAAAATTGAGAATGTCCACTTGGGAGAGATGAGGATTCCTGTACCACCACCCCTCTGACCAGATGCTCTCGGGGTATGCGAGAACACATGGTCAGACGAGGAGAGAGCAGTAGGAGTAGCAGTGTTTTCAGTGGTGATCCATGTTTCCGTCAGCGCCAGGAAGTCGAGGGACTGGAGGTTGGCATAGGCTGGGATGAAGTCAGCTTTGTTGGCAGCAGAACGGCAGTTCCAGAGGCTGCCTGCGACCTGGAACTCCACGTGGGTGGTGCGTGCAGGGACCACCAGGTTAGAGAGGCAGCAGCCACGCGGTGTGGTGCGTTTGTGTAGCCTGTGCAGAGAGGAGAGAACAGGGATAGGCAGAGGCATAGTTGACAGGCTGTAGCAAATGGCTACAAAAATGCAGAGGAGATCGGAATGAAATGGGCTAAGCATCTGGGAGCGGAGAGAGCAGGGCCTCCCTCACCAAAAACTTCTACCTCAGAAACTAAAATTGTTTCACTGAACCACCCGAACAAAAACTCTCCCAACTTCCGCCTTTAGAAGTCAGAATTGTTGTGAACCACAGCGGTTCAATGTTTAAAGGAATAGACTCAACCCACTTTATTCAGCTAGCCAACTATGACACCATAGCCAACTAGCAAGCTAGCATCCAATAACAATAACACACCGTTTAGCACCAACACTTGGTCACAACAAACCACCAATAATGTGATAACACACTAAACAGATCATTCGTGTCTGTGTCAAGTTCCTTTCATGACGCAGCAATGATTAGACGTTGGCTAGCTAGGACAAGTATATTGTAGTTAGCTACTACAGTACAGCTAGCTGGTCGTGTTGGGGAGCTAGCAATGGCCACTGTGTTGACTTTGTTTGAAGAACGGCTAGCTAGCTAGCTTCGTGCTACAGCCGGCACGGCCGAGGACACTGCCAAGACACAGTAACTACCCACAACAACCCACGAAGCCTAGCTATGACGCCGTAGCTAACTTGCAAGCTAGCATCCATTAACACACAATTTAGCATCAATACTTGGTTACAACAAACTGCCAAGAGTGTGTTAGCACACTAAACAGATAATTCAAGTCCGTGTCTAGTTCCTTTCATAACGCATAACGCAGCAAAAAATTAAACGTTGGCTAGGACTACATTATCATTGGAAAC